GTCAAAGGCACGGTTCGCGATTTGATTTTATAGAGTGATCCTAACCGTTAATGGGGTAGCTTTCTGCAATCGCGAAGGTGGTGCCGCTGTCTTGACACGGAATCGACGAGATCCTTAAAGGCACGCTCCGGGATGGGCGCTCGCCTGTTCCATCCCGGGGTAGTAGACAGGTGGACAAGTGTTGATGTCGCGCCCCTTTTGCGCTTGAAAGTGCGACAAAGGCGCAAGGAGCTCGTCCGACCCGCAACTCACACCTTCGTCCGCAAGCCCCCCTCCGCTGTCGGTTGCCACGTGGCGCTGCTTGAAAAGCGCGGGCGCATTTGAGGCAGCGGTCCCATTGCGACCCAATGTCATTGGCACTGGAGCAACTAGAGTTAGGTTCGTGAAACTCGTCCAACGCGCCCCTTCTCTATCCCAAGGTGGAATGCGGCTGAAATAGGGGAGGTCTCTGTACGGGGCGTAATCGGTGGTTTCGTTTGCTTTCCTTCTCTTTTACAGACCACCTCCCACCTCTAGCTTCATAACTGAACGCTTTTCCACACCTATTTTATCCCGAATCTTGCCTTTGAGGCCTTGTCGTCTTGGTATCAAATGCTGCGACCATGCTAGTAATAGCTGCGTTTTCTCATTCTATGTGATCACTCGCTTGCATCTGCCGTCTGCATTTTTTCGTCCAGTACACTCCCTAGCCTGTAGTCTTTCCTCGGCGCCAACTGTCTTGACATCTTATCGCTAGCAGAGTTCAAGAAGGCTTCTGTTTTTAGTAGGATTCATTTGTTTCTTTCATTTCCTTGCTGTTGGCCCACTTCGCCGTTCCACTTTCATTTTGATCGTTATGACCACGCCTACATGATTGCACTATGTGCCTTCAATATCTTACATATCTTCTACTTCAGGCGGAAGTGGTATAGTGGCAAGTGGCATCAAATCCTGGGTCGTGAGTCGCCCGGGCCAACCAAGCCTTCCATCCCTCCGGGGTCGGTTAATTGGTACCAGACTTGTCTGGGAGGATAAAAACACTGACTTGTACATCGGCTGGCCCCGCAAGTCATTGTATAGGCCACATCGCATTCAAACGCCACTACGAATGTACAAATGGAAGTAGAAT